ACAGCAAGACAAACATGAATTTATTCAACTCTTAAATGGACACTTTGCTGTCGGGGACCTGGGAAGGGCACGTCTGCTGCCGGGTTGTCTATAATGGAAAACACAGCAATCTGATCCCTAAGTATCTTTGCCAGCCTGCCCTCCTTAAAAACCTCATTACATAGCTGGGGAGATGCTGCTCATTCTTGCCGGGTACAGCATCATCGGCACCACGAAGCTGTTCAGAACGAACTGGTGGAGGAGCCCATCTCATCTTTGTCGTCGCACTAAAGGAGGTTGAGTTACGTCGGGGCTAGTTCATCGCGCTATCTAAGCTAGCTTAGCTGATGACTTACCGTTAACGGTGCGCGCCCCAACAGCGGCGCGATCAAATTAATAATTTTGATCACCACGTCCAGCAAGGTGTTGAAGATCTGGGAAAATAATGTAAGCGATAGAGCTGAAAGCAGAGAGATAGAGATAAGGAGATACAAGGGCAAGGGGGGGCTAAAAACCAGCCATAACTTACTCCTTCCAAACAGTGACTGCCAGGAATTCCGGAAGCCGAAAAAAGAGTAATTTTTCAATCTTTGAGAAAACCACCTACCAAACAACAGAGAGCACACTCTGGTGGGAATGGACTATCTCGAATATGGGCCCCCGCCGATGATTCCGCAACCGTCCTTTTGGATCCACGCGGAATGCTAGCGTTTTAGGACTGATTTGAACAAGAGTTGGCCGTAAGAGAGTTGAAAATAATTTACCAAAAAATTTTATGCCAACCAGGGAGAAAGACTGGGGGATTTTTTGGTTTTTAGGGTCTAACTTTTTGGTTTGATATTATTTTGATCTGAATTTTAGGCAGATAGTTTTCATTTGTCCTTGTTGTGCCCCAAATTTCAGCCTGTAAGATGCTAATCTAGGAAAGGAGGAAAAAAAATAAGGAACCGGCTTACCTCAGCCTTGTTCTCCGGACTCGCACACATTTTCTCGTCGGGTCGTCGGAGCACAGCGTTGTCAAAGATTCACGGAGGTCATCGTAGAGCTTTTCCTAAGATTATCCTAATTTGTATAATTTTAGGTACCCACCATTTCGCGGGCAACCCTTAGAAGTATGAATTACAAAGTCCAGAAGCGGGAATCGGCCTGGGCGTGCTGCAAATCCGAGGAGCAGTCGCCAGAATTCGGAGGCCTGAAAACGGGGTAGCGAAGAGAGATTTCTTTGGGAATGAATGAAGGCAGAAAGAGAGAAGAGAGAGAGAGAGAGAGAGAGAGAGGGCGGGATCGACCGACTTTTACCCGAGCCTTGGCTGTCAAATACTTCACCATCCGACCAGCCGCCTTCTCGGCCACCTAAATTCAAATTGTTTTCGGACTTCGCAAATTTCGATTAAATTAAACTCACAATCTCCACAGAATTCGGGCCGCCCTTGAGCGTGGAGTTATTGGCAGGCGGTTTGTGTTGGAGTGAAGCTGCAAAAAAACTGTTTGGAAAGGGTCTGGAACACATTTTTTTGAGCCGACGCTAACTCGGCCTTGTTGGGATTTTACCTTGTCAGTCCCTTTAAACCGCTAAATGCCAGATTTTGAGCGCCTGGTCTCTTTAAAATAAAACAGTTTTTCTAAAAGCTGAGCAGGAATCACGGGCTTTCCATCACCACAGAGCCGTGGATTTTGCCTTGCTGGTCCCTTTAAAAATGGATACAGCTGGCTTTTCAGTGTATTCCTTGTAAACGCAACAAAAATAATTTCCAAGGGTCCTATTTTTTAGCATTTTCAAAGTATTAAAATACGTTAAATTGATTCTTAAGATTTACAAACATTTTGAAAAACGTACCGTATTTTTGGAAATCCTAGCCCACCGATTGTTGACTGAATTGGCAAAGCGAGCGGCCGGTAGAACTAAACAGATAAATAGGTTTGAACGATTTTAGTTGCCTTTAGAGCACCTACCGTCTGCCCGACGACATCGAGAAGTTCGTGTTGGCTTGAAAGCCCTGGAAAATTAGTTTGAAAGATTTTCAGTTTATTTTCCTACCGATTGAAGCCAGAAAAACGGCGCTTTGCCCGTCATTTTGGTCGAAATTCTTCCGGGCTGCCAGAAATTCTCTACCCGAATCCCGATGGCGGCTGCATCATCTCAGTCTCTGCCCTTTTCCAGCTAAAGATAAACACGTAAAAATCGATGGATGGGTCTGGAAGGTCCTACTTCGCATAATTGAAAAACGTAGCAAAATCACGAAAAGTTAAAATTATCAACTCAAGCAACCTCTTGCCACTTTTCCCTGACTTCCGCATTAATCTCTGCTAGCCTGCCCTCGCTTCCTCATTGATCCTCCTGCTGTACCTCCTGCCCCAATGATCTCTGCTAGCCTGCACTCCTTCCTCAATGATCTCTGCTAGCCTGCCCTCCCCTCCCCAATGATCTCTGCTAGCCTGCACTCCTTCCTCAATGATCTCTGCTAGCCTGCCCTCCCAGCTTCCTCAAGTAGTCTCCTGCTAAGCCTGCCTCAGCTTCCTCAATAGTCCTCTACTTCGCCTGCACTCCTTCCTCAATGATCTCTGCTAGCCTGCACTCCTTCCTCAATGATCTCTGCTAGCCTGCCCTCCCCTGCCCAATGATCTCTGCCCAGCCTGCCCTCCTTCCTCAATGATCTCTGCTAGCCTACCCTCCTTCCTCAATGATCTCTGCTAGCCTGCACTCCTTTGCAATGATCTCTGTAGCCTGCCCTCCCTGCCCCAATGATCTCTGCTAAGCTGCCCTCAGCTTCCTCAATGATCTCTGCTAGCCTGCCGTCCTTCCTCAATGATCTCAGCTAGCCTGCCCTCGCTTCCTCAATGATCTCTGCTAGCCTACCCTCGCTTCCTCAATGATCTCTGCTAGCCTGCCCTGCCTTGCTCAATGATCTCAGCTAGCCTGCCCTCCCCTTCCCCAATGATCTCTCGCTAGCCTGCCCTCGCTTCCTCAATGATCTCTGCTAGCCTGCCCTGCCTTGCTCAATGATCTCAGCTAGCCTGCCCTCGCTTCCTCAATGATCTCTGCTAGCCTACCCTCGCTTCCTGAATGATCTCTGATAGCCTGCCCTCAGTTCCGCAATGATCCCTGCAAGTCGTCCCGAGGGCAAACTAGCAGAGATCATTTACATTCGGGTCCCACCAAGATTTCAGCCGTTTGAAATCCAGCCGAGCTCATTCTCCCCTCCCGGCGCACACCGGATGTTTACCCAACCGAATTTATTAGGGGAGGGTGGTGGGGGCAGTCTTGCGCGCGTTTTGCCACACACAGCCAAATTGCGGCCCGGAGGTTTGGCAACGAAGTTCGCAACTAAACGGCGCGCGCTTTTCCGGTCATACTTACCCGGGCGTATAACTTTAAAGGAACTGTGAAGGCAGGGTCCCTGGCCTGAATTTCGTTCCTCAGGAATCGCTGCTAGTTGTTTTTAGTTTACGACAGGGATATGCCTTTAACAAGCTAAGCCTAAGCCTGAATCTAAACCTAATCCTAAGCCTAAGCCAAGCTTAAGCCAAGCCAAGCCTAAACTTAAGCCAAGCTTCAATCAAAGCAAACCCAAGTCTAAATCTCCAAACCTAAGGAAGCTAGCCCCAAGCCCTAGGCCAAGCATAAGCCAAGCCTAAGTCGAGTCTCAAGCCCATTTCCCAAGTAATCTCTGCTAGTTAGCCGCTTTTGTTTTCAAGGCCCTGCAAAACCAAGATCCTTTTAGCCGACTGAAGAATTCCCTTCCCCGAATCCGCAACAATCCTTGCTACCTGGCCCATCATCGTACGTTGTTGTCTCGTGTATCGTTGCGGAATTGGGGGGTGTTCCACCTAGTGGAATGGGGGAAATGGGATTCAGTACGGGAGGGCAATCCTAAAAGGTGGACCCAACTACTAGAGCTGCCCTGCCCTCCCCCCACCTAATCCAATAGACAGCATCCATTCCAAATCTTGGACTTTCGGTGGGCACAAACAATTCTGAAGTGCGTAAGGATTGCTCGGCGTTGTCTGCTAGTTTTCCCTAAAAAATTTTGTGTTACTGTCCTTTTAAAGGAGGTTGTCTCTTTGTCTCTCTAGTATTTTTCTCTTGCTTTCTCTCTCTCCCTCTGTTTTGCTCGCTTCTCGCTCTTTCTCCAGCTTCTCGCTTTCTCCTAGCTTTCTCTCGCCTTCTTTCTCTCTCTCTCTCTCTCTCCTCTCTCTCTCTCTCTCTCTCACGCTCTCTCTCTCTCTCTCTCCCCAAAATCTTGGTAACTCCCATTACCGAGTCATACCCGACCCCCCGAATGGCCCGTTTCCGGCTGCAGAGGAACCTGTCAGCCAGCCTCTGGAGTCGGATTTTACTCACTACCCTATCATACTCCATACCCGTCCTTCGTCCTCTATTTTTCCTATTCCATACTATGGATGATACTGTAGAACCTACTGTAGCGATGCTACGTACCACACAATATGAATCGATCGCTGTGTCGCCGTCGTTGTACTCGAGAAGGTCGAACAGGTCTGGTTTATGGAATATGGTGATAGGTGCAGGCTAGCAGGAATCATTGAGGAAGTGGATTCTATTCAGAATTTTGGATCGACTTTAACGAATTTTTATCCTTTTTCAGATCTTCCCGCTCTGTCTCTCGATCTCCAAGTATTTGCACTGAACTCCCCGACCTCCGCGAAGTCGCTGGAGATGAGGAGGTGATTCCGAGCACGATTTTGAACACAATTTATAGACTAAAACCTCTCGAAAAAAACATTTTTGAACGAAATCTATAGCTCTTTTTTGTGGTGTGGGTGCAGGTCGCTTCGCATGCTGTGGAGGGCTTTTTGTAGAGCATCGCGGATGGCGCTCATCTTGTCGAATACTTCTTCGGGGGATTTGTTTTCTTCGAGGGATGCTTCCTAGAAATATCTATCATTTACGCACTCACACGCTCTCTCTCTCTCTCTCTCTCTCTCTCTTTCGCTAGCTTCAACTTACAAATCCACTGAATAACGCTCCAATGTTCGGCACATAAGGAAGAACGATCTTTGTCACATGCTCAAAGACCTGAAAAAGGAATATTGAGGCTCTTTGTCCATTTCTCTCTTTCTTTCTCTGTCCCTCTCTCACACTCTCTCTCTCTCTCTCTCTCTAACTTACCGAAGCCATGAATCCCATGCCCATAAAGCCCTTAATCTCCTCGACGACCATCTTCTTGTTGGTCGTCTCCAGATAGTCGTCCAGCTGCCCCAGCAGCCCTTCGATTTTCCGGAAATCATCTTCGGACAGTTCTAGCTGAAAAAATTGAAGCTAGCAGAAATCTTTGAGGAATTATTATGTCACGATGCCTTAGCTATCTTGAAAATGACCTGCTGCCTGCTGCCTCGCACCCTCTACCCCCATCTTCTTCTTCTAAAATCTCTCCCAGCAACTGCCCTCGCTTCCTCAATAATCTCTACTAGCCTGCCCTCGCATCCTCAATGATCTCTGCTAGCCTGCCCTCGTATCCTCAATAATCTCTGCTAGCCTGCCCTCGTATCCTCAATAATCTCTGCTAGCCTGCCCTCGCATCCTCAATGATCTCTGCTAGCCTGCCCTCGTATCCTCAATAATCTCTGCTAGCCTGCCCTCGATTCCTCAATCATCTCTGCTAGCCCACCTCTTCATGATCCTCCTCCTCTTCAGCTGGTTCTCGTATCTCCAATTCTTCTTCTCCTTTCGCCTCATCACCAGCTCGCACAACCGCAATAAATCCGACGCAAATTGCTAGCAAAATGACACGTTTCATAGCCGGGTAATATTTCGTGAAAATGGACGTGTCGAGGGCTCCCCATTTCCGGTGCCAACGCCACTAATAGCCCCCCGGTTTTGCGGGTGTCATTTTTAGAGGATTATTTTGGTGCGCGGGGAGCTCGTGCTCCCGGAAAAATGAACATCAAATATGGAAATTGAGCAGGAGAACGTTGGCGCATTAATGGGACCGCAAAGAATCACCGCTAGTTGACCTCTCAAAATGCTAAAAATGATGTTTTTTAAATTTTGATACACTAAAGACAAGCGCAGTTGTTCCCTTCCTCAAAAAATCTCTGCTAGCTTGCCCTGCTTCTCGTCTTTTTCTATGGAGTGCGAGAACAGAAGCACCATTTCAAACCCCGTCTATTCCAATCGAAAAGCCCCTCCTGTCTTGGCCCATTTCGAGGGTTTATGGGGTGCCGCCAGGGCGATGGGCCGATTTCTTCCTATATTCCGCTCCTTTCCACCTCTTCACTTTGATTGGCTTGCTCGTCCCTTTAAACCTATTTCCTGAAATCCCCTAATGAAAAAATTTAAAATGGCCAGGGTTTTTCACGCTTTACCTTAGGTGGCGGATTGGTAAGGCTCTAGCCTGTCACCCGGTGGATTCGGGTTCGAACCCACACGGTGGCGAAATTTTTGCTTTTTGCGGAAAAAGTTATTTAACATTTTTTAGTTAAATTTTGACTTCTCGATTCTTTTAAAGTGCAGATGCTAGCGTATTAATGGCATAAATAGTCGGAAATCCAAGTCCAGTTCTCTCTCGCTCGCTCTGTCGCTCTCTATCTCTCTTCCGCTTTCTGCTCTTTCTCGCTTTCTCTCCTTCTCTCTCGCTCACTCTTTCTTTCTCTTTCTCGCTCCCTCTCTCTCGCTCTCTCTGTCGCTCTCTATCTCGGGTGTCGATATTTCTCTCTCACGCCTTCGCTCTCTCTCTCTCTCTCTCTCTCTCTCTCTCCTCTCTCATCTATCTCTCGCTGTCTCGCTTTCTCTCTCTCCCTCTCCTCGTACTCTCTGTATCTCTCTCGCTCTGTCTGTCTCTCTCTGTCTCTCTTTCTCTCGCCGATCCAAACAACAAAAATCAGGAATTTTCCGCACCATTCCGCCCCTAACGTAAAGAGTTTTCCGGCGGAACTAATTCACAAGGGAAAGCAAACAATAGCTTCCACTTGACTACCCTTTTGCAATTTGCCTAATGGTCCTCCAGTCCACCCGAATCCCTCTATTCCGCCTGGCTCCAAGTTACGCATGGAATCCATCCTCTAAATCCCAATAATCTAATCACTCAGACGATGGCCGTGGTCAATTTGATGAAGGTTTGTCGGACGGGGGGATTAAGGGGATTTTAAAGGGGTCGGGAAGGTATAGGGAATTGGCAGAGCGCCAATTCTGAACAGATCGCTTCGAGACCCCCTCGCTGAGGTTTTTGATTTTTGGATTTTCAAAATGCCATAGTCTTTGAATTTTTTTTGCTAAAAATATGTCTGCAAAATTTATTGCAGAAGCTGAAAAATACCGAATTCAGAAAGGACCAATTTAGCAAATTATCGAATTTTTAGGGTTCTATAGATAGTGAAGCTAAAAAAAAAATCGAGAAATCCAGAATTTTTGCAATCATGAATTTAAGAAAATCGCACCATATTTTAATGGGATAAATACTTGTTAGTATGTGAAAACACCCCCCAGAAAGAATTATTTACCAAAAAAAATTTTTTTTGTTGAAAAAAAAATTTTTTCAGTAAGACAAAAAAAAAAAAAATATATTTCAAAAAATTAAAAAAAATATTTTTTTAAAATGTTAAAAAATGTAGAAAAATGGAAATTTTAATAAATTGAAAAAAAAAAAAAAATCAAAAAATTTTTAAATTCTTTCCCTTTTTTCCGGTTAGAATTGAAAAGAAATTAAAAAAAAAAACCAAAAGCCAAGTTAGGAAATTAAAATAAAAAGATGTTTAAAAAAATAATACACAAAAAAAAAACACCCTTTGAAAAAAAAAAATAAAAAAAAAAAACCCCAAACTTAAAATTTTAAAAATATTTTCTAAAAAATTTTTGGTTTAAAAAAACTTCTCTGGGTTATACCGAACCCCAAAAAATTTTTTTTGCAACTGGCGAAAAAGGGGGAGGGGGGGGGGGGTTGGGGCGAAGGGCGGTTTTTTCTATTTTGAAAAAATATTTAATGGCCCTGCAAGTCAGGATTTTCGTGGATTCTTAGTGCAAAAATTACAGAATTTCTGCTTTCTCCGATGATCTCTGCTGGCCTACCTTCACTTTCCAAATGATCTCTGCTAGTCTTCCTTCTCTTCCTCAATGATCTCTGCTAGCTGGCCCCAATTCCTAAATTGCCCCTGCTAGCCTGTCCTACCCAAGTTTCTCTAGAAAACTTTTTCCGACCCCTTACCCCTTCCACCAAGTAGTCCATTTCCTGTCCGCATCAATTCATGCCTTTCTGGATCCGCTCCGGGGACCCAGGCGCGGCCCAACACAACCAACTTTTTACGGGCTACACCTTTTTACGATTGGTTTCTATTTTTTTCTGATTTTCAATAGATTTTCTGGGCGCTGATGATCGGGAATCTGCTGCAGTTCTTCCCGTTCGATCGGGTGGAGGAGGTGCTGGAAATTTGAATGTTTTTTGGATATCGTAGTTTTTGATTGCTTTTATTAACGTTTTATGGTTTATTTAGAAGCCTAGATGATCTCTGCTAGCCTGCCATCGCTTCCTCAATGATCTCTGCTAGCCTGCCCTCGATTCCTCAATTATCTCTGCTGGCCTGCCCTCCGCTTCCCCAATGATCTCTGCTAGCCTGCCCTAAATCCAATTCCCTTATACTACTATTTACCCCCCATATTTCAATATCTTGACTGCCTGTCTGTCACCCATCCTCCCCAAGGACCTCCTCCTCCTCCTCCTCCTCCCCGAAATGGCCGCAGAAGTGTCAACATGTCGCTGGTTGCTCGTCTTCCGCAGGGCCGTAAACTATTTCGCCCTCCTCCGCCTCCTCTTTGACTTCACAGCCTCAGCTCCACCTCCCCTTTTTTTCGGGGAGGACGAAGACAAATGGCAACATGGTCAAGTAGCTGCCATGGATTAGTCGCACTCCCCGTTGAGGGGGAGGACAAGGAGGAGCTCGTTCTATTTTGGTTTAGTTGCAGGAAGTGTTCCTCTTTTTCGAGATTGGTCGAAACGTAAGCCTAAGTCCAGCCTAAGCCTAAACCTCAGCCTGCTTAGCCCTAGGCCTAAGCCTGATCCTAAGCAGACTAAGCTTAACCTAAGCCTAAGCTTGACCTAAGCCTAAGCGTAAGCCTAAACTTAAGCCGAAGCCGAAGCCTAAGCCTAAGTCAAGCTGACGCCTAAGCTGAAGCCTAAGCCCAAGGCTAAGCCTATTCATCCCTGATGCATTTTTTACGTAATTTCCCCAATTTCCTTTGCTAGCCTGCCTCTCCTTCTTCCTTCCTTCAAGTCTTTTTTCATAGTATTCTAATCCCGTCCCCCCATTCCCGTTCCAAAATTACCCAAAAACACCCAGAAATGGGACACTTTGGCTAAGCCACTCCTGGGGTGGTCAAGTACTTCTGGAAGGCTTAAAAATTGAGAATAGCTTCCAACTCCGTAGTGACTAGATTTTACCTCTACTCCTAGATTCCTTGCTCGCCGATTCCCATTTATTTCTATTTGAATTCCCTTAAATCTCGCCCTGCCAACTCCAAGCTCCCAGCCCCAAGATGCGACTATTGGGAAGTTACCCACCGACCCGCATCGCGCGCAGCCAGACTACGATCTCATTACGAGGCGGATATCTGGTGTCCAGGGTATTGCAACGGAACGTCAGCCTGAGAATCTGGATCTTTCTATCGTACTCTATACAGTACTTTACTGTACTTTTTACATCGACTGTCTTCTGAAAAATACGCGATTTTTTAATCTTTTATCGGAGTGAGAGTAGATAAGTCTAAGCCTAAGCGAAGCCTAAGCCTAAGCCTAACCTAAGCCTACGCCTGGGGGAGGCCTGAGCTTAAGCCTAAGCCAAGTCTCAGCTTAGCCTAAACTTAAGCCTAAGCCTGAGCCTAAGCTTAAGCCTAAGCCCAAACCTACCACTGAACGAAAATTTCTACAGATTTTCCTATTTTTTTGACAGTATCCGCTACAGTATCCCCTACACTACGATCTACAGTATCCCCTTGAAAACACGACCTCCTACAGTATGCTCTACCGTAACCCGATCTTCTCCCCGTCAAATGCACGTTTTTCTACCACTTTTGGAATGTTAGATTTTCCCCATTTTCCCCTTTTTGCACCCATTTCTCTTCCCTATTTTAGAGAATAACAAAATGCTCCATGCCGAGGTACGGTAACCACCCGCTAAATTCCCTATTTTCTGTCCTATTTTTGGCAATTCTCTCAGTTTATGGCATGATGGCTTCCCTAATTTTTTCTTTGTTTATGTTTTCACACTTTCTGTTGTTCTGCATGCGGGTGGGGGTTTTTAAGAGGTCCATTCAAGCGGGAAAATCTTTAAAAGGGTTTCAAAGATCAAAAAATGCGTAAAAAGGTCCAAAAAAATCCGAAAGAATTGCTGCTAGCTCCCTGGAGGTTCCAAAAAATCGAAAAGCTTGTAGAAAACGCGCTCGAGCTCAAAAACCCCAAGAATTTCTGCTAGATTGTCCTTGCCTTTAAAAACCTCTTAAAACTTAAGCTCGTGCTCAAAAATTCTGAGAGTTTCTGCTCATTGCCACTGCCTAAAAAAAAAAAAAACGCGCTTTAACCCCCCCAATTTCTTGCCTTTGACTTTACAAAGCCTTTTAAAACTGAGCTTACAACTCTAAAAACCTCCTGAAATAAAAAAACCTTAAAAAAAAAACCAAAAAATTCATAAATTCTCCAATTTCTTTTACAAACTTAAAAAATAAACTTAAAAAAAAAAAAAAAAAAAATAAAAATTTTCCTGCCCTTGCGTTTATTAACCCTTTAAAAACTGAGATCTTGCTCAAAAAGCCCAAGAATTTCTTCTAGCTTCCCTGGAAAAGCAGGATAACCCGAGAATTCGTTTAAAATGGATCAATTTTCAGGGCATGATAGCAGAGATTTTTGGGAATTTTTTAAGAGCCTTGGTTTTGGACCCAAAAATCTCGCAGGGTGTTTAGCCGGGGGCAAGGTGTTTCCGAATAATAGTAAGCCGCTGGGGGAGCATGGGAATTGAAAGAACCGGAAGTGGGAGAGAGAGAGAGAGAGAGAGAGAAACCCCTTTTCAGGTGTGGCGTCAAAAGATGCTGGAGGGCGGGCACGCGGCACGCATCGTGCGCCGCGGAGGCATAGCAGGTTTGTCCGTTGGAGCATTGCGGAATACCGTACCACCTGATACCGTAAGACCCACGTACGGCATTACACTTGACACCTAATTACAATCCGGTACTTTGCTATATTCTAAAAATTTACTAAGCCTATTCAAGTACGCTAGTACGCTACAGTCCTATTGACACATCATTACTGTCTCCTTTTCATTAGCTTAAGTCTAAGTCTAAGCTACCGTAACAATCGCTATATAACCTATTTAACGTCGGGATGGAGTCGCTGGCTTTAGCATTTGAAGAAGGTATCGAAAAAAACTGGGTTAAGCTTTTTAAACCTAACTTTCAAACCAAATCTTGAAAAGCTCTAAAAACTAAAAATATTTCTTGCTTATTTTACTGTTTTAGATGGCATGGACCTGACTGGAGAGGGGCAAGAAGAGGAAGAAGAGCTGACCCTGGGAGGAAAAATACGACAAAGATACGGTACGCTCGCACCAGCTATTTCTCTCTCCCTTTCTCTCTCTCTCCCGCTCTCTCTCTCTCTCTCGCTCTCACACTTTTCAATTGGGATTTTTGCAGCCTGGCACTCCCCCACATCTTGCTCATCTCCGCCACAACCCTTTATATAACAGGAGGAGCATGGGTCTTTCAGGTAACGAATGATTTATGCAAATTTATGACCTAATTGTCCAGTCAATCGAGATCCCCTACGAGACGCAACGGCGAAACGTACATCTTGCCCAGATACAGAAGGCACAGGTGAGGGTTTGAAGAGAGAGAGAGAGAGAGAGAGAGAGAGAGAGAGATACATTTTTAGGAAGCGCTCCTCGCCGTGGACATCGAATCGGATCCCCAGAATATCACTCTAACCTCACGACTCGACCATCTCACCTACGTCACGCTACTCGCTTACGAAAAGGGCATTAAGGTGAGGAAGGCTAGCAGAGATCATTGAGGAAGCCAGGGCAGGCTAGCCGCGACCGTTTGCGTAACACTGAGCTCGAAATTCCAGCCGATTGACCTCCAAAACTCCACGTTCTCCACGAAATGGGGAATGCCGTCGGCCATCTTCTTCACCACCACCGTACTCACGTCCATAGGTGGGTTACGGTATCCAGAGTATGATGGGTCACGTTTTAGGATATGGTCACCTGATTCCGATCTCCACGAAGGGCCAGATATTCTGTATGGCGTACGCTTTACTTGGGTAAGGAATTAAGGAGACGCCGGCCAGGCCAAGCTAAGCCTATAGGGCCTAATCAAGCCAGGCTTAAGTCTATGACTAGACCAAGCCTTACGCCTAAGCTAATCCTAAGCTTAAGCCTACTGTTAATCCTAAGCCTAGGCCTAAACCGAAGCCCAAGCCTACGCCTAAGTCATTTTCGATCATTTCCAGAATCCCCCTAACGCTGATCACCATCGCGGATGTGGCGAAATTCTTCTCGGATCGTCTGGGCGGAAAGGATGATCCTTTTGCTGAGGTACTGTAGAAAAGGCGGGGAATAACACTTAGGTTACATCGATTACGCCTTGTTATTCTAGGTAGCAGCGAATCGTCGTATCCAAGTAATTGGGGTCCTGATGCTCTACATGGCCATCTGGGCGTGGATCTTCATCAGGCTTGAAGACTGGAACTTCCTGGACTCCTTTTATTTCTGCTTGGTGTCGCTGGTAAGAGAGCGAGAGAGAGAGAGAGAGAGAGAGAGAGAGAGAGAGAAAGAGAGGAGAGAGGGAAAGAGAGAGAGGGAAAGAGAGTGCGAGAGAACGAGAGAGAGATCGAGAGAGAAAGAGAAAGAAAGAGTAAGAGTAAGAACGCGATAGAGGGAGAGAGTGTGAGAGCGAGAAAGAGATAGAGACAGAGACAGAGCAAGTGAGGAGCGAGAGAGAGAGAGACAGAGAGACAGAGCGACAGAGAGAGAGATGAATCATTTCCAGCTCACCATCGGCTTCGGCGACAAAGTTCCAACCGGAAAATCGGAGCTCGACGTGGCGATTTCCACAGCGTTTTTGTTTATCGGTGAGTTTTGTCCTCAATGATCTCTGCTAGCCTGCCCTAGCTTCCTCAATGATCTCTGCGAGCATACCCTAGCTAATCCTCAATTTTCAGGCCTCGTGCTCACCACCCTGACCGTGGAGGTGGTCGGCTCGGTGGCGATTGAGAAAATGCACAGCCTCGGCATCTCCGACTTCTTCAAGGGGCGCCACACCTTCGCCATGTTCAGGGTGAGTGCCAATTAGGCGCTCAAGTGATGCTAAAATGTTGTTTTTCTAACTAAGTGGTAGCTCATCCGACAGAGCGTAAATTTTTGAACAGGATGTGGCCGTGAGTAATGCAAAAAAGTGTACAAAATTTGAGAAAAATAATATTAAAAGTAAAAATTTTACAAAAAAAATCAAAATCTGTTTTCGGTAACTTTCCTCGGTTACCGTAACGGTCTACGATTTTTTTAAAGGTGCTTCCTGTGCAGAATTTTTCGCTCTATCGAATGAGGCAATCGTAAATAAACAAATTTTTGCTACAAACTACAAAAAACGTATTTTCTGATCAAAAAGTTATTTTGGTGATTTTAAACACCGAAAACCGATCTCCTAATTTAATCTCAAATATAAATTTCAGAAAATCCGCCCCGACGATTCGAAAGAACTCTGGTTCGCCTACGTGCCGAAAGACGCGGGCCGGATCCCGTACATCGACGAGTCGGCACGAGACTCCGTCCGCAACGCCAAGCTCTTCGACTATTAATGCGATTTTCTTGGGTATTTTTCTCAACAAACGGGTGTATCGTGGAATAAAGATTTTGCTGTTTTATTTTGAGCAACAAAACGGCAAGAAAAATCGATAGAAAACGCTGCAAAATTGCAAAATTGCGGTTTCCCCTTGGGAGTTTCCCACGTGAATTGGCGGATGTTTATTTTGGCTGGAAGAGCAGACAAACCGTTTTGTTAATGAAAATTGTGTCTTTATTATTGTGCTATATGGTCTCGAGGCGTTGGCTTTCAGAATTAATAAGTTGAGTTTTGAAATTCGCAAATGATCTCTGCTAGCCTGCCCTCGCTTCCTCAATGATCTCTGCTAGCCTACCCTCGCTTCCTCAATGATCTCTGCTAGCCTACCCTCGCTTCCTCAATGATCTCTGCTAGCCTACCCTCGCTTCCTCAATGATCTCTGCTAGCCTACCCTCGCTTCCTCAATGATCTCTGCTAGCCTACCCTCGCTTCCTCAATGATCTCTGCTAGCTAATATCCATAGGGCTTCCTTAACAGTCCGTTTAAATTTCGATATCCCTTTTCCGCGTGACTTTTCTGACTTACTACCCATTTTCGGTGAGTCGGTAGATAAATCTCGGAGGAATGGAGTCTAGCGAATCGCTCGCTCTCCCCTCCCCCCTCCGACCCATCCCATTATCCATTCTGATTTATTCGACCCGACACTTATTTATGGGTGGGATGGAGGGGTTATCTGAAGCGAAGGAGCAGGGGAGGAGATGATCATCCCACGCCTAGACCACACCGGGATTCAAAGATATCAGCTAGCAGTAGATGGCCACATTTCCAAAATGATCTATACTTGCCTGCCTTACCCTTCCTCAATGATCTCTGCTAGTTTACCAGTATATAATTTACATTTTTTACCCAAATACCACAAATTTCCATGTATTTTATCAGTTTTTTACTACTCTCCCTGCGGTTCGGCAAGTTTTATTTAGCCTCACCTTGTATTAAGTTTAGACTAGGCGGCCTAGCAGAGATCAATGAGGAAACGAGGGCAGGCTAGCAGAAATCCTTGGAAAAATCACCCCGCTCCCGGCTTCCCAATTCGTTTCAATGTCCAGTCTTTCCGGTCTTTGGGCCCTCGAAAAGGGCCACATCGATTCTCCGGAAAGGGCGACCCAGTCCGGAAAGAGAGAGAGAGAGAGAGAGAGATAGAGAGAAAGGGAGAGAGAGCGAGAGTGAGAGAGAGAGAGAGAGAGAGAGAGAGAGAGAGAGCGCGCGTGAAAGCCCCGACCGGGGTCCAGGAAACGGCCGTGGAAATTTGGCCTTCCGCCAACCAAATCCGGGCGAATTTCACCCGATTTTCCGGGTCAACATGCATATTTTTATTCTCTAAAAAAGTATTTTAATGCTGTCTCATACCTTAGTATAATTCTGTCATTTAAAATAGATCGTATGCTAATTTCCGGAATTTCTGAATTTTACCGTCCTTAAAATTAGTTTCTTTACCTTTGGTTGTTCCTTAAAACCCGAAAGATATTTTTAAACGCAATTTTTGATTATTGAATTTGTCTCTGAATTCGGACATCTTTGATAAATTAAATTAAAAATTTTCCGGTGTCAAGAATGGCAACCCTGCAGCTCGAGCAGGCCACCACCAGCCAGGAGGACGACATTATGCAATTTTTGTTGAGCGGTGGGTTTTGGAGAGTTTTTTAAAGACTTTCTAGCTATTTAGAAGACAAAAATCTAGCTAGAAAATGCTAATCGGTATAATTTTTAATTTTTAAAGAATTCTGGACGTTTTTCGCCTTGAAAATTGGTTAAAAAGACACAATTTTCCATTTTAATATATTTTTCGAAATTTGCCGAGAATTTTCAACCTCTTTTTTGTCGTGTCCAAACAATACCGGAACCCCAATTTGATAAGCTAAAGTTCTAAGATTTTCCTGGGGAATTTTAATATTTTTCGGGCCCCAAATAACGCAAAAATACCCAAAAACATTATGCTAATTAAGGGCACATTTGTTGTTGCAGATTTCCTGCACCGCGAGCCGCTAAACGAGGCGCTGGGGCTGTCAGCTGCCGGGTGTGCCCCGTTTTTCCGACGTAATGCTAATTCCGGGTGTTTGGAGGCTAATTTGTGGTGTGTTTAGATCTGTTGCGGAAGGGACTGAGGTCGGGCAATAGTATGGTGATTAGGGACGACAAGGGACAGGTAAGCCTAAGCCTAAACCTAAGTCCAAGCGTAAGTGAAGCCTAAGCCTAGGCCTGAGACTAGGCGAAGCCAAAACGAAGCCTAAGCGAAGCCTAAGCGAAGCCTAAGCGAAGCCTAAGCGAAGCCCAAGCGAAGCCCGAAGTTAAGCTTTTGCTTAAGGCTAAACCTAAGTAAAGTCTAAGCCTAAACGAAGCCTCAAGCTAAGCTAAGCCTACTAACAAAGCATGAGCCTAAGCCAAGGCCAAGCCCAATACTAAATCCAAGCTTAAGCTTGAACCTAAGCCAAGCCAAGCGTAAGCCTAAGCTGCAGATCATTGCCACCCACGTTGCCTCTTTCCTCTACCGCCCCACCGGCTCGAACAACAACAACAATGAGGGGGTAAGTTTTTCACCAATTTTCAAAAAGCAAAAAATTTGCGCGCGCGGAGTTCGAACCCTCGCTAGTTTCTTAGAAGACCAAAAGCGTTACCAATACGCTATGCTGTTAATCTAACAGCCTTTTTCAGGATAACTTCCAAATCGAGGGGGATATCCAGAAAATTGCCGGGCTGCTGGATCGACTGGACGAGCAGGTGGGACCGTAAATTGGATTACGGCGTATGGCATATTGTAGCGTATCGTAGCGTAGGACAACGTTGCGTATCCAAACGTAGCCTGGCGGCATGTTTTGTACTTTATCGTGCGTGGCATGTACGCTGGAGCCAAGCCTAGGCATGGCGTTCGCAACGTAGCCTGTCGTAGTGGGTTGTAGCGTACCATAGCGTATCGTAGCTTACCTTAACGTACGTTAACGTATGTTATCTTGACGTATTTTCAGGTGCTGTGACATCGTTACGTAGCGTATTGGTGCGTACTATAATGAATCGTATAATGTCATAATTTATCGTAAAGTACTGTAGCGTATCGTAGCGCAGCGCTTCGTAGCTTCTCACTTATCATTTTTTAGCTTTGGCAAAAAGTCCCTGCCGGCGTGGACAAGTTGTTCTACATCATGATCGTCTCCGTCTCGTCGAACCACCAGAGACAGGGCATCGCCAATAGGTATACTGTACGGACAGTACCCACCATGTAGCGTAATTAGGATAATGCGGAATGCTGAGGAGCAGGCGAGGAGCAAGGGATGCCATGGACTGCTCGCCGAGGCGACGGCGCACAATTCGCAGAAGGTACGGTTGCATACGGTTGACTTGGATACGGTAGGCGGTGACGTTAAAGTACGCTACGATAGAATACCATAATCAGACTGGATTTTTAGATGTTCGAGAAGCTCGGATATGAGGTGATCTACGAGCTGCAGCACAAGGACTACCTGGACGAGGCCGGCAAGCAGGTATATTGATCGTTATGAGCCTTAAGGAGGCTGGGAATTGGGATTCTGACGCTACGCAACAATACGCAACAGTACTTGACAGTACGTAATAATACGCGACCGTACGCAACAGTACGCAACAGTACGCTAGACTACGCAACAGTACGCCACAGTACGCAACGGTACGCAACGGTACGCAACCATACGCGGTAGTACGAAACGGTACGCTTCAGTACGCTACAGTACGCAACGGTACGAACAATGAGGGTAGCGTAGCGTACAAATACGCAACAATACGGTTGAATGAGGTACACCTACGTTACTGTACGTAAAGCTACCCCAAAGTACGAGAGGCTACGGCGCAGTACATACGAAAATACGCACCTACGCAACAGTGTGCGACGATACGGTATAGTACGCAACGTGACGAAGCAATACGAATTTGTATAGTACGCTACTAGCGTTCGGTCTTGAACTCCTTGCAGTCGCGTCCCTTTAACACTCAAAATTCCGCCTTCAGCGGCCCTTTACATAGAATGTTTAACTTTTTCTTGACTTCCAGATCATCAAATGCCACGACGCCACCGACCGGGCTCAGCTCGTCTTCAAGCGGTGCGCCTGAGACCCCCAGAAAATGCCGAAAATACCCAATTTTATAGAATTTTACGCTCGCTTTTCTCATCGGATTTTTCTTGATAAACGTTTATTGGCGTGTCCCGTAGCGGCGAAGGTATACTGTACAATCACAGGGTGTAGAAAGGGGAGTAAAACTGTAAATAAAAGCCATGGAAAGTGCTTGGATACGGTAGACGACGTGCGGGTACTATAGCCGTTCATTGGAAGACCGGATCGAGGCGCTAGTGTCGGAATTTTGGAGGGAATGCTTCGGAGCGAGGTGGGGATGTCTGAAAAAAGGGGCTGTTCGTTGGCAGGCTAGCAGAGATCATCTAGGAATCGAGGGCAGGATAGCAGAGATCATTGAGGAAGTGAGGGGCAGGCTTGCACAGATCATTGAGGAAGCGATGGCAGCCTAGCAGATATCATTGAGGAACTCACTTTGCCTGTATCGCCGCCGACATAACGTCATAAAGCGTCGTATACTGCTCGACAGTTTGTACCATTCGGACTCGTTGCTCCCTGAAAAACCCGCTTTTCTCTTTAAAGGAACTGTGAAGGCTGATACGGTAACGTTGACGTACCGTAACCGCGATACGGTAGCGTACACATCCAGCGTCGTCACTTGCGGGTCGTCGAGCTGGGTGAGCAGGTTGTAGAGCGCGATGAAGACGCCGGTACGGCCGACTCCGGCACTGTAAAGGGGAGCGTCCGTAGTCTATGGTGATTAGGCGCTAAGTTAGCGTACAAAGTACGACGTACAGTAACTCGATACAGTAAGCCTCACCTGCAATGCACAAGGATCGGAGCCCGTTTTCCGGATTTCCGGATCCGCTCGACAAAATCGAGAAGATGCTCACGGCTCTCTGGCGCCTTCGCATCCTCCCATTCTTTGAAATGGAATTGGGAGATCTGAAAATTTTGTAATTAAGAAGCAGCTAGCAGAAATTATCGGGGAAGTGAAGGCAGGCTAGCAGATATCATTGAGGAATTACCTCCTTCTTCCTCCCACCCCTCCGTACATCAAATTCCCGATGCATCGAGATCGGGTCGTCAGTGGTAGACATCAAATCCACCTAAGATTTCAGCCATTCCGCTACACTCCTACTGCCACCTACCTCAAGCTCCCCCAATTGCATCGCCTCCCCGACGTTTGACGGCCAATATTGAGCGCATTTTGGCTAAAATCGAGGCGTCAACGGGCCGTTGAATTTAGAAAAATGGCAAGCTAGCAGAGATCCTTTAGTTTTTCTGAACTGACCCTGCAATTCTCGACGCACTGCGTGAGCATGATGATCGTCGACACGTCGTGCTGCCAGACCATCTCCCAGAAGTCGGTGACCGTCTCGACGCGGCGGCCGCTTGACACCTAATGACGAGTGTTTTGATTGGATTCTAGCCTAAGTGTAAGCCGAAGCTAAGCCTAAGCTAAGCTTAAGCTAAGCCTAAGCTAAGCCTAAGCTAAGCCTCATCATGCAGTTAGTAAAGAGGAGCTTGTTAGTGTTTGGTAGGTCCCAATTGAGACCTACCGTAGCCAAGGGTATCATGCACTTACGCTCACTTCAGTCTCCCCCAATGGCCCTTGCGTGGCGATGAAGAAGTTGGAGGCGGTCACGCTCTGGAAACGAGAAAATTTGAATTAAACTTTTGCTTACGTCAATATAGCTGGCGTTGATGTAGTCGCCGGATTTTTCACGGAGTCGCACTCGATTCTTTTCGACTGGAAATAGGGAGTTAGCGAGACAGGGAGCGGGAAAGAGAGCGAGAGAGAGATAGAGAGAGAGAGAGCGAGAGAGAGAGAGAGAGAGAGAGAGAGAGAGAGAGAGAGAGAGGAAATAGAGAGAAAGAGCGAGAGGGAGCGAGCGAGAGAGAGGCAGAGAGAGGGAGCGTGAGTGAGTGAGAGAGAAAGAGAGATACTCACAAGGCAACACGTCCAAAAATCGGTTCTTTTTCGCATTTTCTTCTGTATCCCCGCTGACAGAATCGCCCCGTTCTAGGCTGGTGATGATCCGGCGGCCGAGCATCTAAAATTTTGGTTTAGAGGGAGAGTGAGAAAGAGAGCGAGATAGAGAGAGGGAGAGAAAGAGAGAGCAATTTTTGCCCACCTCAAACTCATCATCGAACACCTGATCTTCTTGACCGTGGTAGAGCTCTACACGCTGGCAGAACTCGGCGATCGGAATGTTCCTAAATGGTTTCTGCTGATTGTCTTACGCTCCCGCTCTCTCTCCCTCTCCTCTCTCTCTCGCTCTCTGCCTCTCTCTTTCTCTCTCTCTCCACCTACGTCTCGTAAGCTAGCGCTTTCTCAGCGACGGCATCCATTCCGGGGCTTAAAACCGTCGGGATGTCGATATGAGTGGGCCGCTCGATGCGACGAGGTTCAGGGAGCTAAAAAAGGGCTTATAGGCAAGCTAGCAGAGGTTCTTGAAAAATTTCGCTCTGCCTGGATGGCTTTCTCTCTCTCTCTCTCTCTCTCTCTCTTTCACTGTCTCTCTCACCCCAGTCTCCAACTTCGGATTCGACACGCTGCTGTGCTGCTCACCAACAACCTGGTGCTGGGCGAAAGCCGGCTGGTGGGCCCAGGATCTAAAATACGGTAGCTAGGTCATTTTACGAAAAGTTCGCTCTATCTCTCTCTCTCTCTCTCTCCGCCTTTCTCTCTCTCACTCTCTCTCTCTCACTCTCTCTTTCTCTCAAGTAAACTTTTACTCACTTCTTAGCATGTTGCTGCCATCTGCGCCAAAAAATGGCCCCTAATGTCCCGAGGCACAACGTCAACAGCAAGAAGGCCGATCCCACGCAGATCAGCACGATATCGAGAGCTGGCAATGTCCATATATGATGGAAATGAAGAGTTTGCTGACAAAACGTTTGGCTTCTCAGTCCCTTTAAAGGGATACCCAACCTTTTCGGGGCTCAAAAAGCAAAAACAATGACGCGGGCGGGGGTCGAACCCGGGACCCCCGCTTTCAAGACCTGGATGCTATCCAATAGGCCATAGTGGCAAGCCATTGGTCGAGATGGGGACGCCACAAGAGGGTGAGGAGGCCGAATTCTGTGCGGCACTGGGCATCCATTACCGCACAAAATTCGTGCGTCATTTGTACTCCCCGGAATACACAACTATATATTCGCCGCAAAACATTGGGTATCCCTTTAAGACGTACGCTACGCTACATCGTACATTGCGCTACAGTATGCCCAAACCATCGGTTTTAAGATTTTGAAAAAGTCTAATAGATCTTGAAATTCGCCGCCCCCTTAAAAGGCTAGAGAACGCGAGAGAGAGAGAGAGAGAGAGAGACAGACAAATAGAGAGAGAAAGAGAGAGTGAGAGAGTAAAGATAGAGTAGAGAGGGAGAGAGTGTTTGTGAGAGAAACAGCTCTAAAAAAGTATACTTCCCGATCCCTTTAACCCACTTAATCCAGTCGAGGCTTCAATTTTTGGCGGGTCAGCCGGGGTCACCATTTAGAAACGAAAAATTTAGTCCGGAATCAAAATCGAGCGGTGGGAATCGAAAAGTGAGGGCCCCCTAGGCCGGCCGACTACTCCAAAACGAGCTGTTTGCGTTGCTCTTCCTCTTTTTGTTCGTCTCCTTCCGATTCTAGCTGATCCCGGGTGTCGACTCGCCCTGTTCAAGTGTCCCCCAGGGCCCTTAATTCTGTGGCGCTACGATAATCCGCTTCCGAAACCGGGGTGGAACAGCGGAAAGAGGGTGTTTTTGTTGTTGTTTCAGCGGAAAATCGAATTTTTGAGATGTTCCCGCCACTTTAAAGGCCCATTGAAGTCAGAATCTACTCATGAAACCCGATTCATATCTGTCTATGTCCCTTTAAAAGAACATTGAAGTCATAATCTGCATCTGGTTACCGATTTCGAGCTGTTCTTGCGCCTTTAAAAGATCATTCAAGTCAAAATCCAGATATGGCTACCAGTTTTTAGCTGTTCCAGCCCTTTAAAGCGCCATCGAAGTCAAAATCTATCTATAGGAACAGATTCCTGTCTCTGCCCCTTTAAAGGGTCCGTGAAGGCAAAATATACATATTATGATCGATTTCTGGCCGTTCCTGCACCCTTAAAGGGCCATAGCAGTCAAAACCCACCTATCGGGAACCAATTTCTAGCCGTTCCTGCGCCTTTAGAGAGCCACTAAGGACAAAATCTTTCTGGTATTTACCAATTAAGGGCACAGAAAGCTGTTTTAGCTGTCGCTACCCTTTAAAAAACATTGAAAAACCACAGGCAAAATGGTAGTTTCTTAAAGGGGCAGTGTAGTCAAAATCGCCCTGTACACAGGTTGCAGGCTGACACGCTCCTTTTAAAACCCACCATTCAGCATCGTTCACTCCCTCCACTCGATCATCTCATTTCCCAACGCAAATATCCAGTATTCCGGCCCTGAAAATCTCAAAAATGACAAATGAGAGGGCATTAGAAGCGGCGGAAAGTTTGGAACAAGGAGTCGAACCGGTTTTGGGGGGGAGCAGAATCGAGGAGAATGAGGAAAAGGGCAACGCGAAATAGAATTGACACATACACACACAAGAACACGAAAAAAAGATAGGAAAGGGGAAACCGATGAGTGGGCAGGGAGATCGATTGGAAAAGAGGGAGGGAAATGCTCCTTTTTGGGTTGACTGTATTGTCTGTCTGTTTGTCTGTCTGTCTCGCTCTCTCTCGCTCTCTCGCTCTCTCTCTCTCTCTCTCTCTCGCTCTGAATACCCTAAACCGCTTACAGCCCTCGAATAGAGCCAGCCTGGGCTCGAAAAGCCCATCAATGGAAAGAACATTTTGGCATGGGTTGCTCATCGCCTGATGGCCACTTTAAACCGTAGAATTAGGTGATATTTTTAAGGTATTTTTAGACTATCATTAAAGGAACCTGAAAGTCAAAATTGAAGCCGCGCCCCTTTTAAAGGGACCACAAACTGCAAAAACGATCTTTTTCTGATCACCGCAGATGCCAGGATCTCCTTAAAGGGACCAGAAAGTGGCACTTTGAA